CAGCAACAGGAGACGCAGAACAGCAGGGGCAGAAAGAAGAGCCCACATGGCTCATCAGCCGCCTCTTTATTCAATTAGGGCCAGCTGGTGACGTCAGTCCTGAGCGCCAATGATAAAAATGGCGACTGACACCGAGGAAAGAGGAGAGAGCAGGGAAGAAAGGGGGCTGTAGCCACCACCAGACGTGAGGAGGACCTCCCCTACGGGACCCACAGAGCCAGACAAGCTGGGGACAGACCCAGACAGCGTGGGGAAGGGAGGCCCATCAGGGGCGCTAATAGAAAGGCGGGGAAGCAGCAGGCTCTCCAGACCCGAAGACAGGGCCAGAGGAGCAGCTGACACTCGGGAGAATCCCAGGTGGAAGTGGCAGAATGACCAGGGTGAGGGGCGTGACACGCTGAAGAAGAGGACCCTGAGGAAGGCCCTGAGGGGGGTTGCGACTGAGGTGGGCATTGCCGCCAGTCCTGGCTGGATTGCCAAGGGAACAGGAGGGAAGCTGGGAAGTGACAGGCAGTAAGAAGAACGCCCCTAGCCAGAGCAGGGGGGATAAGGGAAGACATGTCAGGAGGTGGCCCATTACTTTAGAGTTATGTTGATGATTTTCTGTTTGGTTGCCGCGGGTGAAGGGGAGGAGTAGTATACATAGTGAGTACCCCATGGAACAGGGCCGAGGGAGAGCCTCAAAGTTTTTCTTTGTGTTTCCCTGTAGGAAGTGGTGGAGTTGAGGAGACAGATAGGCGGACCCATATGAGTGAACCCGATCGCTGGTGGCCAGCATATAGATGTCAAGCTGTGGGAAGCAATTCCACTGGAAGGGCCAAAGCCAACGGAAGGACGATGGACCCAAGGTGGTGTGAGGCTGGGGTGTAGGGGTGGCGGAGCCCCGTAAAGGACCACCGGGCGAACCATGGGCCACCGAGCAAACCCGACGACTGATCCCATCTACTGAAGAACAACAAGTCATGGCAGGCGAGAACTGGGGAGGCAACTCGAGGAGGAGACACCTGCTAAGTCATCGACATGAGCCCGTAGGATGCCCTACGATTACCACCAGGGCAAAAGTTGCACGTGAACAGATATTCGAAGCCCGGTGGCCACAGGCAGTATATAAAATAAAGAACTCAATCCCTTTCTACTGAGTGGTTCTTCTGGATGATTAGCAAAGTCCTACTGATCTTTTGTGTTGTCCTCCATTTTGTTCTCTATCAACTCACTCTGTATTTGAAATTGCTTGAGATATACAGAACACTGGACTCTACCTGACTATAGAAACCAATAATCAGAACATTGAAACGTCAATAGTGGATAATTCCTAATATCAGAGGAAAATATGTACAAAATACTTAATACTTAATTTTGCTATGTCATGATAGAAATATCATGGTTTTATTGTTCTTCTTCCCACTTGTACCCATGCATCCTGCCTCTTCTCCACAAGATCTCAATGTAACCAACTATACAATATCTCTGCCAGTTTTTTACTTTTCTCCACCACAATCAGAAATCATATTTAGAGTTTCTTAAACCTCAGCTCATTGAGACGTATACAAAACCTATTCCTCACTAATTAATTTGCATAATCTTCCACTGAGGCCAATGCCAAACATATCAAGAAAAAAAAAACAGCTTTCACTCAGAGAACCAAGGAGAAGCAGTACTACTGAAGTTTTACTACTCCTGTGACCACTGAGAATTATAAGTGTAACCACAGAGGCAGCAACTCTGAACCCTTGTGTTGTACTGACAGCAAACATATCTTTCAGTTGATAACTCCATTTGAAACTGTCTAGAAATTGAATTTAGGGAGTCTTTGTACATTAGCCTACGTTGTTTTTAATAATTTTTGTCAGTGGTAAAAGGACTGCAAAATGTTATCATATCAGAATAGTACCTTTATACACCCATGTTTTCATTAATATGAATGGTTATACCTAAGGTCAGCCAAGAGCAGGGTAATGGGGAATTAAGTACAGGGTGATTTTACAAAGAAAAAAAAAAAATCAGGCTTCTAATTGTAATCCTAAATGCCTTTTAACAAATATAAAAAGAACAGTCCTATTTTCACTATTAAATCTTCTACTATACATCATACTGACAAAGAGCAACAACGCAGTCTCACTGCCTTCATGCAAGCAGCATGCAGGACTTTGCACTTGTCCTTGTTGGATGTCATTTGATTAATTGCAGACCATTTCTCCAGTTGATCTAAGTTATTCTGGAACCTACCCCTACTCTCAGGAGTATCTGCAACTCCACTCAACTTGGTCATCCACAAATTTGCTAAGTGTAAACTCAATTCCATCATCCAAATTATTAATAAAAATATAAAAAATACTGGACCCAGGACAGATGCCTGGGGAAGCCCACTTGATACCTCCTCCTAGATAGATACTGAGTCATTGATTACTACTGGTTGAGCACGACGACCCGATCATTTAAGTATCCATATTACAGTATTTTCATCTAGACTGTATTTCTTTTACTTGTTAATGAGAATGTCTGCACTAAAACTACCTAATATGTGAATATTAATAAGTACTTGGTTATTTACCAATCTCACCCTCTAGCCAACAAATTAAAATTTTAGCATTATTAATCCATTCCAAATTATTTATATTTTATATATTACTCAAACATAGACATTATAGAAGTGTTTTAAGAGATGAGTAACAAAAATCTCTGAAGCCCTGTTCATATTTCATGTTAAGTTCCAAAATTACACATTATTACAATATGTTTTGAGCTTAGCCTCATTCATAGGATCACAGGAAAGTAGGGCTGGAAGAGAGCTCATGACGTCATTTAGTCCAGCTCCATTTTCAAAGCTGGATCACCCCTGACTAAATCATCCCAGCCAAGTGTTTGTCTAACCTGCTTTTGAAAAATTCCAAGGTTGGAAATTGTGAATCATGAATCACTTCTTCCCAGATACATGCAATGTGATTTCTGTGCATACTTAATACCTAGTTAATCTTTGAGCTTCTCATGATAAATTTATGCAAAAGCATTCTATGGTTGCAGTAGCTTTTTCTTGTATTCCTTGAGTGCCAGGGCACAGCTAGAACACATAGCACAAAGGCATGGATACAGTCTCATAGCAAGTTCCTGACTAGGGTTACGGTGGGGTTTTTTCTTTTAGTGAATATTTTTATTTGCTAAACAATGCAGTTACAGACAACACCCCAAAATTACACATTTAAGCTCAATTTTGCAAATAGTTGTGGCTAAATAAAGTATTTGGAGAACTTAGAACATATCTGTGGGTATGCCTATACCTGTGCTTTAATGCGCAGTAGCCTATTTTACTGTGCATTAAAGCGTCAAAAAAAACAAGCTAATATGCTAATGTGCAGTAAAATAGGCTACTGCACCTTAAGCATCACTTAAAAAATATGCAGTTTTGGTACTATGCATTAGGGCAGTCTAATGCGTATTTATATTGGAGGTACTAAATTTAGTGTGCATTAGGAAAAGCACATTAATGTATATGTAGACATGCTCTATATTACCTCTAGATTGTGGAAGGGTATGGCATACCTGCTTAGCATGTACTAACTCCCAACACAGCTACCTGAGGTAGTGTAGCCACCTGAGAGTGATGTTGTAAGATCATCCAAGTCAGAGTGCTTTATGGCATACACCCAAATCTGCTCTACTTGAATCCATTATGGAATTTAGTATTTACAGTGCAAGCATGCTGTGCTTCATTGTACCACTCCCTGGCATGGTCCAGAGGTGGTGTAGACATGCATTTAGATACCATGCACAGAAACAATGATAAAGAAGTGATGCTAATGCTATTGACCTGCAACGTGGGAGACACAAATTCAAAGTAGTTCTCAGAATTTCTTAAATCAGAACCAGGGTCTTCCAGGTACCAAGAGTCTGATCCTATATGCCAGGGTCTGAGGCATTTTTATGAGGTCCTTTTATTAAACCAACTCTGTAGTTGGGAGAGATTTTGGACAAACTTTTGGGCATAAAGTATGACCTGAGGAATGGCACATTGTGCCCCAAAGCTTATTCAACATCTCTCCCAATTATACACGCTACACTTCAGAATATATTTATATATATAGGTCTTATTTTAATAGATAATACCCTATTTCTCTGTCAATGTCTGGCTTTTCTTTTCTTTTTGCCTTTTGGTCCTAGGGCTCCCACTCCAAATGGTAGTATCTAATAAGTATACAGGATAGTCTGTCCCTTTCTATGCATATGTCATTATAACTCATCATCTTGACCAGCCAGGTTAAAAAAATCTCTTGTTCAATGTGAAATAATGAGATTTATGTCTGTATGTCCCCAACTTACCCTCCCATTTCTCTGCTTTTTTCCTTACAAGTCATCTTATAATGGGATACCGAGGGCTGATGTACTAATACCAGCTGTATTTTCAGTCACTCAGAAGCATGCCAATATTGAAAAAAAAGTTATTCCACTCCTCTTCTCTGTCCTTGCCTAACAACTAATATTATGCCCACACTAATTGGCTTACTGTAAATTTAAATTTAAAAAGTTTCGAATGGGTCTCATTCTGATCTCTTATACACTGCTTTTACATATATCTTACTTATCTTACTTCACTGTAGATGCTCTTAACAGAGTAGTGCAAAACAGACTAAGCTGTATTATCAAAGACTTCAGTTTTGCAGCCTTTGTTAAAAAGAAAAAAGTAGCAAGTTATTTGGAATATTATTGTGACCATTGAAGAGTTAGGTTTTGGGTTTTTTGGTCAAACAGTTTGCATCACTTTAAAATAAATTATTAAACTTTTATGAGTGATTTTTATTTGCAGCTGTAATTTAGAGATAGCTATAGGGGAAAATAGACATGAATGAAGACTATGGAAACATTAGAAAAAGCCATAAAGTACCAATAAATGAATAATGTAGACTGAAGCATTACACACACAAAGCTAAAGACACTTCTTTGTTTGGACGATCACGCACTATAGGAATATTAATACAGTTATTGTCACTTTTTATGTTTGCACTTACCAACCTCCACAACACTAGAACAATTGAGGTCTGTGAAGCCTTCAGGACATTCGCAAGTATAAAAATCATCAGCCAACCCGGACAAACAGATGCCACCATTTTTACATGGGTTGGAGTCACACACATCCCCTGCAAATAACAGAAAGATGCTCAGTCTCTCATATATACTTCCAAATACTTTGCATGATAATTTTAATGCAGCTAGATTATTGACAACCCAAGACATACCATAATAACTGTTCCAGATTCCTCTGAACACCTATGATCTGAATGAATTTGACATATTTTTTAAAGTTAAAGCAGTGCTTCTCAGCCTTTGTAGACTCAAGATACCCATTGTTAGATTCAAGGCATCCCTTAGAAAATGCTAGCTTTTAACTTTTGCTAATTTTATGACTATGGAAAAAATAATCAAGCAATTCTTATGTTCCAAAGAACTCAGAAAAACCACAAAAGAAAGATGATGTTTTATGACACTATGGATTCCCTGAAATATTTTGGGTGTATCTTGTAAACCATATATAACCCTGTAAGCCACGCTCGGCATCCTGGCTCAGAGTTGCTGTTTTAAAGGACAGTCTCAGGTCATACTACTTGCCTCAAAATTTCTTCCCAAGGACGAGAACAGCAGAAGATAATTCCTTTCCCTCTCTACTTCAGAGAGATACAGGATTGCTTTGCAGACAAACTGGGCTTTTGGGTATTTCTCCCCAACCTGGCTCCTGTCTACCTACAAAACTCTCATTTAAATGTGGTGGTACTCTCAAGCTCAGGCTCACCTGCACCTATAAACTAAAGATGAAGTCAGGGTTTCCTTCACGCTGGTAAACTTTTGCAATAAGAATGCAAAATAAGCCTTTGAGTGTTCTTAGTCTTCCTTTATCTTCCCACAGTTCTCCCAATATGCCCAGAAAAATCAGTTAAGTCCTTCAACAATACATTAGGAAAGAATCAAAGAGTAACTAAGCTTACTACAGCAAGAAGAGAAATGGGATATGCCCTCAGAAGTCCTAGTGACACATATAGGTAAGTGAAAATAAGGAAATTTAAGTCTGTTTCTGCAATGCAACTGCTTATACGCAAGCTAAGTTAACTCAGAGACTTATCTTCCAAAATCTATTTCTTCTGTGAAGACGTACCCTCAACTGGTCCTCCTTACTGTAGACTCTAGCACTGAGTACATAACTATAACATAAATTCAGAAAGGAAAATGACAGGTCGCAAAAGTAAAAAAAGTTGGGGTATTAGTCTGTTTGCATGTGACTTAAATAGTACCCACATGGAGTCATTTCATATTTTACACATCACATAGTATATTAAACTGATTTTCTCTGCTAATAACATCCTGTACCAAAATGCTCTATGCAAGGCATGTGAAGTTTCATATAATGAAGATTGGAACAAAGAATGTGTCCAGAGCTGTCCATGGATAGAACTAGTTTGAAAGCACGACATGGCTACTTTAGCAACATAATTAAATAAATACTGGCCGCATCTACACAAGATGCCTACAGCACTGTAGTTCATTACTACTGTGCAGTAGCTAGGGGTGTGCGAAGCGGGCCCTATTCAATTTGGATTTGGATTCAGCCTGAATCAGGGACAGTGATTCAATTTGTTGATTCAGATCACTGTCCCTGATTCGATTCAGCCAAATCTGAATCTGAAGATTTGATGCTGATTTGGAAAATCAGTGATTTGAACATAGACTCAGCTTTAAAAGTTTTTTCTACATACCTTAAGGTAGCCAGCACAGCTTGTGACCACTGAAATGCTGGGGTGCATGGAGCATCCCACAGGAGCCCACCCCTCCGTGCTCCTCCAGACCCAGGAGGCACCAGTCACCAAGCTGGAGGGGATTCAGGGGGACTCCCAGCACACTCCCCGGTGGACCCAGAAGTAAACCAGAAGTGCTTCTTGTCCACTTCTGAGTCTGCTGCTGAGCCCGCTGGGGCCCCGCCATGCTTCTGTGGGACGCTCCATGTACTTCAGCATCACTGCACTCATAAGCCGCCTGCTACCTAGAGGTATGTAGAAAAAACATTTAAAGCTGTGTCTGTGTCTGAATCTCCAAATCGCTCTGCATTGATTCAGAGGGTTCTGATTCGATTCGGAGAATCTAAAGGGTCCTCTGATTCGATTTGGAGATTTGGCCACCGAATCAGGCTGAATCAAATCAGGGGCTGACACTTTGCACAGCCCTAGCAGTAACGTCCCTGGGCACAAACCATGACATTACTATTGTGCAGTAGCGTTACAAGCTGCTGCTCAGTAATAACAGCATCACTAGACAGACAACGTTCTGGGACGCTACTGCACAGTAATTCCAGTTACTGTGCAGTCATTTAGTACTTGGTTATGCAAGTACTAAATGACTATGTAGTAATAACTGTGCAGTAGGCATCCCATTTGGATGCACTAACTGTGGGTTGAGTTATAGGTTAAACCTAGCTGAGTTGCTAAGTATACACTTCACATACTGCAAATTTGGGACCTCATCTGAATCCAATTACTAACTGGCTTTAGGTCACACCTTTCATCCATATTATATAATACAATCCCATGTCCCCAGAAAAAAAAAGCATACGTGTCCCAGAAGAATATTGTATAAAGTACCAGTGTTCCAGAGCTCATTGGAAACAATGGAAATATACTACACCTATCGGTTTTAGTAGGCTTTTGGCCAGATCTGAGATATTAGTTTGCTCTTCAGATATTATGCTACATTTCTAAATTGTTTTGCTCTCTTCTACCATGTAAGGTAGATCCACCCTTCAAAATGTATTTTACATATTATAATCTGATCTTATAAACAACAGGAAAATATTTCATGTATTTTAGCATCAGAACACTGAAATTTCCTTGTATGTTGTGTTTTCATATGCTATGTTTTAACATAATGCTAATTTGTACTTCAAACATTTTCAGTTTCTATTTTATGGCATGGAATTTTGTGTGTCAATCAAAACTGTTGCTACTCGTGCATTCAAATTCATAAATATGAAGGAGATAATTATACCTGTGATATTACATTTATGACAGGTGATCATTTAGTATTCATTTTTTCCATTGGGTTTAATTATAGCTTTAAAAATATTGATAATTATTGTAATAAGGCATATCATTCTAATGTCTTCTAAATGAAAGACCTTACAGATTAGTTCTAAAAGATATCAGGAAAGACTAATATTCTCTAATTTACAGGTTATAATATTTTGTTTCTTTTTAAGTGACAAGGGTGTCTTATTTTGCATCTAATACTTGTTCAAAGAGAATTGTGGAAAGCATATTGGTCTATGCCAGAGAGTAGTAACTAGTCAGTGGATTATATTATGTATTATTAATCACATATGTCAGGGTGTAAGGGAGGGAAGGGGAAGATTTCAAATATCTTAAAACACCTTTTAATCATGCAAATTAGCTTCAGGGTCTCAAGTGAAATTTCCAAATTAATAGAATGATCATATAAGAAATGTTCAACATACAGCAATTAAAGGGCTTTCCGCTAATGACTATTACAAAAACCAAAAAAACCCCACTAAATTTGAGTTTTGAATATGGGAAGTTTAAGCTAGTTTAATGAAATAACTCAGAGGTTGGCAATTTACAGCCTGCAGGCTGGACTTACCCCACAAAGAGATTGGATTCAGCCTGCTGTGGGGTTGTCTGCAGCAAGTTCGGCAGCTAGGGGCTAGTGGTCTCCATCATCAGCCTCAAAGCCACCCCTGTGGGAGACACTATTATAGTATGAGAAATCTCAGCATGGCCAGCAGGCAAAGGGTTAACACAATCCTGATACTGCAGTTGCTGCCATTCTTGCTTGAGAATTTACCTTTGCTGATTGCTGTTCTCAATGAGTCAGCAGTGGCTGTAATGCGGGGGCACCAAAAGATTCCTACATCTGGCAGCTGCTGCATTAATCCTCAGGCTGCTGGCTGTGCTGACACTTTCTCCCACAGCAGAGGTCTCTCTCATGGTGGGGGGACATAAGGCTGAATTGAAGAGAGGACGGACGCTACCTCTGCTGGCAGCGTTGTGGGTGGGCTGGAAGGTAACACCTGCTGGGGATGGATTGGTTGCCTATGATGCCAGCCTGGCATTGGTGAAGGTTGCCAATAGCTGGACTAGAGCATCCTGAAAACTTGTGTATTTAGGTCTGCTTGGTGTTAACAATATATCTTGCCAATTTTACATCTAGGGAAGAAGTATATTGGTTCAAGGAGAAAGGTAATGAGCTGCTTTTCCCATTTTTAAAGAATTGGACTTTCTTGATTTGGACGTGCATATAATTCATCCTGAGGCTTGTATAGCCACAGCTTTATTTTGAGAGTAAAGACTGCTAGACCTTATGGAGTTCATTTAAGTATTTCTTCAGTGAAAATAAGGTAGTGTGGTTCCAGTTAATACTAATCTCAGAGGAGGAAGGCTCTGAGATGTGTATTCTCCACACCATCAACAATTAAATTTGGACACTACAAACCTGTACGGGAGATCCAATGACAAGAGACTTTTGGATCTAGGTAATTTATTTCCTCAGTTTGTATTCTGGTCTTTTATTTCACAAATCAAGGACCTAGAAATTCGTCATAGGATTAAAGGCCCAAATTCCAGGATTTCTTTAATACTAACCTTAATAGGAAACAGAGTACATCCCTAGGTTTTCCATTTCTGGACATTACTTAATATCTAATACTATGACAGGACTGAATAAAATTACCTGGTCATCTTTTATTTGTCTGAAAACTGTTACTGACATTTTCAGCTCATTTTTTAGAATATACAAGATGCTTAGTGACCCTGCCTACTGTAGAGAACCAACAGAAGAGATGTGGGTGTTGTCTATAGCAACAATCATTATTCCCTATGACCAAGATATGCATTAACCAAATTATCTTTTTATTACCTAACTTCTTTCCACCCACTAACCCTGGGCCAAATATGCTGTCAGTCACTGGCATACACTTCTTGTCAATGCACTATTAGATTGTAAAAGAATGATGAATGTAGTACAGCAATGGCAAACGATGACTGTAGTGATAGCTAAAAGAATAAACAATGGATATATTCAGTAGATTCATTTGTCACAAAATCATGTAAGGCCAAATACTGCCCTGGCTCATACCAGTGTAATTTTGAAGTACTTGGTCTATATAATACCTATTACACTTGTGACCTACCTGTGAGAAATAACAAATGCCAACAAGAATCGCAATGAGTTCAGTGCATTTTGTCCGGTTGCATGTATTTGTAACTCCTTCTATTTCTCCTGCTCTAATTGTTACTGAAGTATTATAACATTTTAATGAGAGTTTTCCAGTCTTAGAGCTCCTACCTCAGATTCTGGGAACTGACGCAAATGAGAGTGGAGAGGGAGAGAAACAGTCATCCTTAGATCAGGACTAAAACCTTGTTTAAATTTAAGTAACACTGAAGAATCATTACTGTATCAAGGTGAGGTGGATTTTGTTAACTGCCATCCAGGAAACAATGAGTTATATTACTTTTTGCACAGACATAGGTGTGAAAGAGGGGAAATTCTGTGGGGAAATATATCAACAGCTAAGTCTGAGAAGAAAATGTGGTTGATGTCAATGTTCTGTTATTGTTACTTGAGTTCTCAAAGCAAAACCACAGAAGATGATAAATTTGAGCTATATACGGTGTGTATATTCTATTCAGAACAAGGAAAGTACTCTATCTGCTCATATACTAGATTTGAGGGATTTGATATAAGACTATCAGTAGTTTGAGGGAGAAACGATGTATTTAACTCTTCCAAAGATTCTGCTCAGCTCTTCACAGCTAAATAAGTATTGAATAAATCATTACACCTGGATAGGTAATGTGTTAAAAGGTAAAAAACTGATGGTCTTTTATGCCCAGTAAACAGTCATTTGCTTGATTAGTACATAGGACCTTTCCCCCTTTATGTACTTTAGAGTGTACTATTTTCTAATGCCTTATGGGCATTACTGTCTGAAACTGGGTTAGATAAAAACAGATTCAAAGCTATGACCTATTTCACTTGGGTTAGTGGAGTTAGACGTGAGCAAAAATGGAACTATCTTAAATAATCTTCAGGGATAGTACAGTTAGTCAGCGTTTAACTAAGTTGAGGTGGTTTTGAATTTTTGACCAAACATATTTTTCAAACAATGTCAATTTGTCAAAACCAAGAAGTGTTTCAGGAAGTCAGGTAAAGGTTTATGTGCTTCCGCCAAAGAAAATAAGCAGGGTGCTGTTAGAGACTTGCCTTGATTTCTGACTAGCTATGTGGTAGGTGAGTTGATTCAAGATAAGCCTTCAAGATTAAGCAGCTCTGTGTAAGTCCCACCCTGCTAAGTATAACTAGATTGGAGACCAAAGGGAAATCCTGGAAGTTCTGTTTGGATTTAAGGCTGTCAGTGTATCTTGGCTGTATCTCAATATATTCTTTAGGGGAGCCTCGAGGGACTAATATTGATTCCTGAGCTCTTACAATTATGGAGGGTAGCAAGCGGTGTGCCCTGGTTACCAGGGAAAGAAGGTTGCCAGAGAAAGAAAACTAAAAACATTTCCAAATTTTAAAATAATTGTTGGTGCTTCCTTTTCATGAGAAATGTTTAAATTTCTAGTTTTCATTTTGAACTGGGTGTAGAGGTGGGAAGGGGGAGTGCTTTCAATCTCTTGGAGTTTCCCATGCTACAGCAAAATTCCAAAACTTGGTCAGGTCTAGCACTAGATACTTCTTGTGACCTCAGGAGAAACTTTTGGTAAGTTAACTATGGCCGTGTGCAGATGAAACGAGGGGCATGTGTGCATGACACTTTCAAATGGGCTAAATGCTTTTGCACCGCTTTAATGGTGTCGGTGTTTGCATGCCTTGGTGGTGTATTGGGCATTAATTCCAGCTGCTGTAGGAAATCTGGCAGTGTAATGCATCTTAAATGACTCAGGGTGCAGGAAACTAAAACTCCGAGGAGGAGTTTTTAGTTTGTTGCCCCTACAGCTGCAGAGTGAAGCACTGGGCTCTGTGTAGCTCAGGGTCTCTGCAGGAAGTCCTGCAGGCAGCCTGGCAGTAGTCCAGGAAGGCAGGCTCCACCCAAGAAAAATCAGCAAGCCTGATCTTTTCTCTTTTTTTTTTTTGTCCCTGGAACCTGCCTGTCTAAGCTGTGCAGGGGCCTGGTGCTTCTCTCTGCAGCTGTGGTGCACCCCCACTACCTCTGAACCAGGTGCCTGTGGGTGGGTGCCGCTGCCATGAAGGGATGCACCATCCCCCCCACCCCACAACCCAGGAACTGCTCCACCTGCCAGCAGCTCGCCCTCCCTTCTCCACCACTGGAGAGGCAGGTAAGTTGGGTGTTTGCATAACACGGGAGTCTAATTGGCGCTAAATTGTTTTAAAAAACTCACTGCTTCAATTTAGGGCCCCCATTTTGTCTACAGAAACCCTGTAACTCTTCATTTAAGGCCTGGCTGTTGGCCAATCACACAAAAGCATCTCCAAAGCAAAATTTAGCTCTTAATTATTTGCTTCTTAGTAAAATTATTCAAGGACATGAACCTTTGGTTTTCTAATACATTGCTATTTTAATGACTATTAGTTTAGACTCTAGCAAACTAAATTGGATAAACCTGCATCATGTTTTATTGTTGTTGTACATTTTTTAATGGTGGGCTATAAACCCAGTTTCAGTTATGAATCTCTAGGGTGTCAGACACAAGGCAAAGCTAAAGACAAAATAAAAGACAAAGAACCCCAACAAAAATCTTCCTAAGCTGACTGACTCGCATAGAACAGCAGAGACCTAAACAGGGAAATATATTATAGTAGCTGTGGACAGCAATGATTAAAATTGGATTTTGGCATGATACAGAAGAAGTCAAAGAAATGAGCAAACTCAAAAGACACTAGTGAGCAATAACTCTACTTAGAACTAGATATAAAGTTCATCCAAATTTGCATACTCAAATTAGTAAAACTCCCCTAAAATGTTAGCACCCTTATGACTTACTGCCTTTGAAACTGTGAAGAACAAAATAAATATCACTTTTGAATCAACAGCATGCCTCTCAATTTACATTTGTGCCTCTTGAGAGGCCTTTTATATTGAAATATTGAAATCTAATTTGTTATACCTTCAATTAAGTTTGATACATAGGTTTTGATTTTAAAGGCTCTGTTCTCAATAAGAAAAGCTTATATGGATGCAGTTTGTTGTGGCTTAAACTGCTGATGGGATTTGTTACCACAAAATACTGTCTGTATTGCATATTACATAACTTTTAATACAGCACAATGGGTTTAGAATATAATCTTGTAGTCCAGGTGAGCTGCAGAGAGAAATAGAGCCTACAGAAAAAAAATCACCACAAGACTACAAGTACTTCTTATTGTACTCTGTTTCGCCAATGATGTGTCACTTCCTATTTGTAACTGATTGTGTAAACCTGACTTCCAATAAATTCCTTTTAAACACAAAACATGCAAAATTGGTTGACTGTTTGCAAACTGTACAACATGCTTTTATATGTTTGTTGAGACTGCACCAAAAATGCACTTTACAGATACAAGTCTTATGTTCATTTCCAAAGAAACAATCTCTGGTCCTTCATACCATTCCTGCTCTTTGACATATAACCCAACAAACAGCTTTCATTAGAAGGTATGTTAAGTATTTTAGTGGCAGAAAAATCAGGTTAAGGAGAAAACACTACCACACCTTTGTGATCCATGGATTGAATCTCTGACAGCAGAAGTGGAGTGTGGGGGTTGTGAGAAGGGGGACTATGACAGCAACACCAGTTTAGCTCTGTCCCTTGCAGCTGGGCACAGCCAATAAAATTACACACATATTTTATACAGGAGAAGAGTGGCTCATACTTTTTTCTTCCTCAGCACACCTGCACAGAGCCAGCTGTAAACTATAACCTTTGTATTTAAATTTATTAAATACTTTTTAGTTGGGAGCTTCACTTCCTTTCCTACTCTTGGAAAAAAAAATGATTTTGAACAAATTTACAGTGCAAGACCTTGAACAGCTTTTCATTTTAAACAGCATGCTGTTATAATTTTATAAAATCCTACAAATCATCGTATAACCCTTCTTTACAAAACACTGCAGTTTCTTGGTGGCAGTAAAGGACAACCTGAAAGAGGAAATTCAGTTGCTGTATATAAATAATGCAACACATCATGATGGTAACAGTGAGTCCATCAATCTCTGTCAAGAACACAAACACTGCAACTTTATGAAAACAATCTTGTGATACAAAGGCCAAACTGGATGGACTGTGCAGATAGAAAGAAACCATCTAGTACTCATCCTGATATAAAATAAGGACTTCTACAAAATATAAATTGTAAAATTACCAAGATTAGTCAGCTTTGACTAACAAACACAGATCACTTTGCAGATGTATTTGACTAATTTTTTAAAAAAAATTTAGAAGTGAAAAATATCCAATAGATATTTCATCCATTTACCACAACTGGATGAAAAAGGAATGATAAAAGACATCACTTATACACACTTGCATATAGCACAGAGGACTCTGAAATAAATAAAAAAGCAAAGAAAAATACCATTTAAAAAAGCCCATTTTAGGTGTGTTCTTAACCCAAAAGAAATTCTTTTCACAAAATATTATTGAATGAAGGTGGTTAATAGGATTCCTAAAAGAATTAAACATTCATTTGAATTACAGTGACATCAGCTGCAGTTACATGTGCAAGTACAATCCTTTTTAATTAAATTAATCTCCACATTATAGGAAGTAGAAGAACTGCATAGATAACTGGATAGAAAAAAACCCTTTCTTGGTATGTTTTGCAATAAGATAAATTAGTCATTTTAATGCAACTATAGAATTTGGTTCTAGCCATTGCAAGAAAATGTGGATCAAAAAAATGGACCAGTGTTCTGATCCAATATGGCAGTCTCTATGTCTCTATTCTAGATTCTAAGATACCACTATGAAATGGAACTTAATTTTAAAATCCCTCTAAAACAATGTTGAAATAAAATGATTTAATTCTCCCTTTCCTGAGAAAAGGACTCACTTATTATCTAGGGGCACCTTTTGGGTGGCCACCAAATAATAGACAAACCAGACCCATTCATCATTTCTCACAAATTCCTTATGAAATCAATATGAATGTTGTTGATTTTGAAAGAACAGGCTCAGCTATGAAATATATCACTATATCCTGATTTCAGAAGGACAGAGTACTATCGGATAATAAAAGTTTGCTTTAATTGTTTTCTGATGCACAGAATCATTGGCAAACCACTGACATTCAAATCCATTTTCCAGTTGAAACAGTACAAATAAGAACTATAAATAAATAATGCTGAAGATAAACCTGTGCAGCGATGCAAACAGATAAACATGTGAACAAATGAG